GGAGGTGAGCCTCTGAAGGAAATGTTTGGACTAGAAGGACAGCAGGTTCAGCAGGGTGAAGGGTGGGGCAAGCTAGAGCAGGCAGTGTTAAAGCAGAGGGGCAGCAGGTAGGTGAACAGGCAAAGAGGCAGGGACACAAGGGAAGTGGCTGAGCAGCCAGGGAGCATGGCAGCATCGACAATGCAGGTGCCACAAACAGTATGGACGAAAGCAGATCATGCATGACCCACTCGCACCACAATTAAAACTCTACAGTTCGTAGGCTCACGTCACAATGAAAATTGGGGGTCCTCTTTGAAAAACGTCTGTGATTACCACTGAACACATATGCAGGCATCCCAAACACAGCAGCACCCGTAATAGTGTTGCAGACACTCTTAAAAAAAAGGCACTGAATATTTGGCACACCTTACAGGTGTTGCACTGAGACAGCTCGGAGAACACACGAAATGGTCATATTGCACACAAATTAGACAAAGTAAATACCTGTGCAGAGAAGAAGAAAGGAAGTTATAGATGACATGATTGTGTGTGTGTGTGTGTGTGTGTGTGTGTGTGTGTGTGTGCCTGCCATGTTGGGGCTTGCTTGTTGGAGGAAGGCGCCTTAAATGGGAGTGCGCTTGTGAGAGTTGTCACCTGACCTCGCCTTTATAAGCTCATCTCTGATGGAACTTCCTGGAGATAGAATATCCTGGTTTGTTTGAGCCTACGCCAACCATGCAACGCCCCGAGAATACGGAGGACCTAGATTGAGGAGCGTGGTGTGCCCTTAAGACGGTCAAGTTCTTCGAACCACTATATGTGCTTCCTTGGGCCTGTCTGTGGCTACGGTGCGAGAGTTCCGGAACGACGAAGAGAGGGGAGGAAATATCCCTGCTCAATGTTTCCTGATTGCGATCACATGCAAGAGGATTGGAAGAGGGTGTGAGAAAGTGGATCTGCTCAGTTTGATGGAAAGATTGATGCCTTCTGAACAGAGTTCCTAAGCGACATGTCAAGACAAGAGGGTCAGCGCCGAGGGCTTTGTGTCCCTGAGCGCGCTCCCCCCAGCTCTCTCTCTCTCTCTCTCTCTCTCTCTCTCTCTCTCTCTCTCTCTCTCTCTCTCTCTCTCTCTCTCTC